TAAATGCTTTGTGATACTTGATAGGTGTGTGTGTACACACACACACACACACACACACACACACACACACAGCCACATTCAAGCACAAGAGATTACATAAATACTGGATTGTGATGGATCTTATTTTGTACTCTGGGTCCCATTCAGAAAAGTTTGACAATCATTGGTCCGGAAGAACTGACTCATTGTGAGCTATGCTATCTCTTCGTATTTCTTGAAGTAAGAACAACTCATGAAGGTAAATTCCTGTCTGGTGGTGTGTGGATAACCATTTACTGTTCCACATGTCGGAGAAACCACGTGTGATAACACAAACAAACGAACCAGCAGCTGTTATCAGACCAAAGCACTTATTGAATCTTGGTTAAGGTTCTCAGATATACTCCTTTGAGTTTCCTAATTCATCCCAGGAAGGATTCCGCGTACTCCGTCTTTATGTTGTTACCTGCAAGTCTTGGAAACAAACACAAGTAGAAAGAAATTAATAGAGAATTCCAATTCTCATGGTATTAAATCTTCACATTATCAACAGTGAATCTTAATCTACTGTTAAGATGACAGGGATTCTGGAGCCAGAAATGCTGCTTTTCCATCAAGAACTAAATAAAGGCTGAAAGAACTCATTCTTTGAATCCTTAGACTAAATTTAGGTCTATCTTAAGGTATCAGATATCTAACATCGTTTGCAACTGGTGTAATACTTGCTGGCTTTAAGGAATGAAATAGTTTGAAAATGAGAAGACTATCACAAAGCGTGGCTGGTTGTAGTAGAATTATTGTTTTATTTTATTTTATTTATTTTTTATTTATTTTATTTTTTTTTAAGATTTTATTTATTTATTTGACAGACAGAGATCACAAGTAGGCAGAGAGGCAGGTAGAGAGAGAGAGAGGGAAGCAGGCTCCCTGCTGAGCAGAGAGCCTGATGCGGGACTTGATCCCAGGACCTTGAGATCATGACCCGAGCCGAAGGCAGCAGCTTAACCCACTGAGCCACCCAGGCGCCCTATTTTATTTATTTTTTTAAAGATTTTATTTATTTATTTGACAGACAGAGATCACAAAGTAGGCAGAGAGGCAGGCAGAGAGAGAGAGGAGGAAGCAGGCTCCCCACTGAGCAGAGAGCCCGATACGGGGCTCGATCCCAGGACCCTGAGATCATGACCTGAGCCGAAGGCAGCGGCTTAACCCATTGAGCCACCCAGGTGCCCTAGAATTATTATTTTAGAGCATTTTCCTTGATCTGGGGAAAGAGCATGGGTACCTTTACTCTTTTTTCCTTAAACCAAGGAAGCCTAGTTGGACATTTGGTGACTTTGGTTTGAAACTCAACGATAAACCTATTGAATTCGTATCATAGAGTTAGTGTTGGAGAAACAAAGTTTTTTAGTGTAGTATTTAATTTCTGAAGTATATACATATAGATATGATTATACTCTTTGATCATGACTTCTGAAAATTTTTTTTTTAATTTTATTTATTTGACAGAGATCACAAGTAGGCAGAGAGGCAGGCAGAGAGAGAGGAGGAAGCAGGCTCCCTGCTGAGCAGAGAGCATATGTGGGGCTCAATCCCAGGACCCTGAGATCATGACCTGAGCCGAAGGCAGAGGCTTTAACCCACTGAGCCACCCAGACACCCCACTTCTGAAAATTTTTAATATAATTTCAGGAGAAGAAAACAAGTGATATGTGTAAATATTTTTATAGCATGTTACTTGCCAATGTGAAAAACTTGTAAAGGTACTAAACACTCAGCAGCTGTGAAATGGGTCATTAATCCTATGATAATTCTGGCTATTATATCAGATAATTATACTATTACTTTTAATTGGACATTATATTTTAAATACAAGGTAGAAAAATGCTGAAAGAAAAATAAACACCTTTTATTAAGTTCTATTTTGCAATTTCTTATTCCTTTGATTTGAAAGGAGACATGTGACCTCTTTCTTCTGCACTGAGATGTCAATGCCAAGTCTTGTAACTCATTCTTAATGAGCAAAACAGAACTCGGCCTTGACTCCTTTAATTGGAAGAGCTGTTTAGTTTTACTCAGTTTCATTATATAATAAGCTCTATAAAGCTCCTTTAAGTATTAAATACTAGTGTAAAAACATTGCAAAAAAGAAATGTGTATGGCGATTAACCATGCAATCACGTAAGAGGCTGATGTGAACAGCAAAAATGCTGATTGTGTACTCGCTAAGATGTTAACATTGCTGATTGGGGGGAATTCAAGTGATTATTTTCTTTTTAATATTAAAAGTTTTTCATAATGAATATGCTTTTCTAATGAGATGGTAATAGACATTTTTCCCCCTTTTCCTCTCTACATGTGGGAGCCAATCTCCCATCAAGACTTGCCAGCTTCTATCTTGCATACGTGGCTGAGTCAGACTCCCTTGAAAATGTAACCAGCATGCCAGAAAGCAAGCTATCACCATGAAAATAAACATTCTCCAAAGGGGTCTAAAAGTTCTGGTAGCTAGACGGCCTTGTCCTTGTGAGGAAGAGGCCATGATTAAATCTTGCCCCAAACACTGAATTTAAGTAAGGATTAAATTTAACATATAACTTTATGTTCTTACTCTCTTGGGTCATTTGCTTCATTAATCATTAAATTCGATCTCTGTTTCCCTCCCATTATTGTGACTTGATCACAGTTACGATTTTATGTGCTTAGAATGGGAAGTTGGTGCAGCAGGTTTAGGAGAGGTTCTGAGGAGCCCACAGAGTGGTCCGTGGAAACCTAGGAAAGGCCTCCCTGCTTGCTCAGCCCCCGAATGTGGGTTAAACCAGGCCATGCTGAGGAGCCCTCCAGGCAGCTCTGCCAAGGCACCGAGGTTGTGAGAACTGGGAAAGGTGGTGGGTTACTATAAATAACACTGTAACTTATTTACGCAACTGGAAAAAAAAAAGCTGATATAGATCTTAAGAGGTAAGAAAAGCAGATCTGCTTTGGATTTTATGTCTCTTCTAATATTTGTTATGATTTTTTTTCCTACTTAACTTTATCTGATATCTAGAACCTAAGCAAGAGAGACTGAAAAGGCCCAGGTGAACACTTCTCAGCAGCCTCTAGGACGTGAGCAGGGAGAGGGCTGCCGCCCGCACACGGACATGTACTCCCTCATGGGGTTTCAGTGTCTGTCAAAACAGACCTGCTGTTCTCGGGTCTTGGAACAGATGGGAAAGACCGGCATTTGATCTGGAACGAGCTGCAGTCTGAGCTACTTGGTGAAGGCTCCTTTCATCTTTATCAGTAGATGGGCCGCAAGGCCAAACTCCAGAGTATGACTTAGCCACTTAAAAATGGACTTCAGTGCTGGCCATTATCAAGGGATGGAAAGGCATGGGTGTCCAGCAGCTGAAACACCCTGAAGTATCTCATCAGGGTCAGAAAGGGAGCCAGCCACTCTCAGCAAAGTGGCTCTGGCTCGGAGGCTGGACTCCTTTCTTCACTCTACACTCTATAGCCCTTCACGTCGGCACCCCAAGCTTCCCTGGGTTTCACCAAAGAAACAGACGATAAGGGTGGGGTGGGGGGACAGGCGTATCAGCCAAGGACTCTAAGCTCCACTTACAAGAAACTTTAAAATGGTCCTGAAATTTCTCCAAATGGGAATGGCTACATGAAGGGCTGATGCTGGAATCAGGAGTGTGTAGGGTCAGTGCACGGGTTGGGCTCCGTCCCCTTGTAACATAGGAATTTACTGAGAACAAGGGAAATCTAATTCTTTTTTTTTTTTTTAAGATTTTATTTATTTATTTGACACACAGAGAGATCACAAGTAGGCACAGAGGCAGGCAGAGAGAGAGAGAGGGGGAAGCAGGCTCCCTGCTGAGCCAAGAGCCCAATGCGGCCTCGATCACCCAGGTCCGAGATCACGACTTGAGCCGAAGGCAAAGGCTTAACCCACTGAGCCACCCAGGTGCCCCAGGAAATCTAATTCTTATTAAGAAATGATTACATCTGGCCTAGGGGAGTTGCTTCTTGGGACTCACACTATCTCCTCTTCAACGAGCGAATGACTACATTTTGCACATGTCAACTGTGAAAACCCTTTTAGTTGCAATAGTTCGAAGACAACAGCAGCTGGGGGGTGGGGTGGGCGTCTGGGTGGCTCAGTCCTTAAAGTGTCTGTCTGCCTTTGGCTCAGGTCATGATCCCAGGATCGTGGGATGGAGCTTCACCTTGGGCTCCCTGCTCGGTAGTAAGCCTGCTTTTCCCCCTCCCACTCCCCCTGCTTGTATTCCCTCTCTCACTGTCCAATAAATAAATAAACTCTTAAAAAAAAACACACAACAAAACAGCAGCTGGGTCTATAGTTTTGCTCTCCCAGCATGCTTTTCCAACCTCCTCCTGGTTTCTACCTCCTGCTGTTTTCCTTCTGGGGAATTTCTCCTGCTAAACAGGAGGCCTTAGGAGAGGCGTTCAAGGACAAGATGAGTCGTGATCCAGTCCTAGCCAATCAGAGTATCCCATCTCCCTGGCCGAAGTGATTAGGTTAGCACAAGCCCTGCGACCCAAGCAGGACCAATCAAAATCTCCCGTTGGGTTAAAATGCAGAACGGCTTTTTACAAAAGTGTTTAAAATAAAGAATCTTAAACAAATGCTAAAGTAGTGAAAATTATATACAAGCTCCTCGGAACCCAACACTCAGCCCTGACATCTATCAACTCCTGGGAAAGCTAGAGAAAGGATGAACTGTCTTTCACTACTGGGGATGCTGCGTCTGGGAGGCCGGTGCTGCCTATAGCCATCGTATCTGTCGGTGGAGAGAGTCTGCCTCCAGAAGAAACCCAAAGAGCAAAGTGGAATTGTGGCAGAGCCTTGAAGGCTACATTGAGCTGCTCAGTGCGGCTGAGCCTGAAGCCGCAGCTACCCTGTACTTTCTTCCCATTCAAGCCAGATGGAGGAGGGGTTCCGGTACTTGAAAAATGGGTCATCTAAGATGAAAACCTTAAAGAAACACTCCATAAATATATATATTTTTAACATCCTGTGTTTATTTTTGAGGTATCTGGGAAAAATAAGTTCATGGGAAATCTTCAAGAGAACTAAAGCAGAAGGGGAGCTCTAGACATATTAAAAGGGGATCATTAGCCTTTTCACTCTGCTCAAAGGATAATGACAGTCCCACTGAAATGACAGCTATCTACTAGAAAATGTAAACTATATAACATAAACATCATTAAGGGCTGTAACATTGGGTGGGCATTTTCACCCTTAAAAAAAAAACAACAACAAAAAACAAAACCTCATAAACAAAATAATCAAGGCCTCAAACCCATTCGGAGTCTCTGATTTGAAATTGTCTTCAAAGCAATGAGGGAAAGGATACAACCGCTCCTACAGGAGCATTCTGGGAAGCCGCTCTTTGGTGTGCAATGAACGCTTCTTCCTGGCTGTTCCTTCACCGTCCACAACACTTACACTTTTGCTTTGCTAGTTCTTGTTTTAGCTCTTCATACACTTGTGAAAAGAGGTCCTCTTCTGATTTGGTTCCATCTAGGTAAACTGAGAAGGAGAAAGGAGAGCAGTTCAAATGCCAGGGGGCCTCTTAGCCATGGATTCTTACTCTGCCATCTGACATCCCTTAAGAATACTAACAGGTTCAGGTTCAGGGGCGCCTGGGTGGTTCAGTCGGTTAACCGTCTGACTCTAGATTTCATTCAGCTCAGGTCATGACTGCAAGGTACTGAGACTGAGCCCCTCGTCGGGTTCTGTGCTGGACATGGAGCCTGCTTAAGACTCTCCCTCTCCCTCTTGCTCTGCTACTACCCCCTCAAAAAAAGAGAACATTCACAGGTTTAAATAAAGAATACAGGACCTTAGACACTTAAAAAGAAATTAATAGCCATTAAAGACAGAAATAGATTAGAGTCAGGAATAATAGGTAAAGAAAAATTGGTTTAATAAGGGGAAATGCACGTTAACAGGTGTGAAAATTATTTTTTGAAAAAGAAAGAGTTAAATGGCATTGGGTATGTGGTCCTTTAGCAGCCCTGAGGAATCAATCATTCCAGGGGCTGGTTCTCCAACTGCCTTATGCATCAGGATCCTCGTGGAGCTTTTTTGGGGGGTGCAAAAGGTGATTTTATTAAAGCACGGGGAAAGGACCTGTGGGTAGAAAGAACCATGCAGGGGTCTGGGCTCTGCCATGTTCTTCAGGCCCAGGAGATATGCATTTTTACCCAAACTGGCACAGGTAATTTTGGAGAAAAAGTGGAAGTTATATAGGTTAAAGGAAAAAAAGAGCACTTTATTTTTTTAAAATTTATTTATTTGACAGAGATCACAAGCAGGCAGAGAGGCAGGAAGAGAGAGAGAAGGAAGCAGGCTCCCTGCCGAGCAGAGAGCCCTGATGCAGGGCTCGATCCCAGGACCCTGGGATTATGACCTAAGCCGAAGGCAGAGGCTTTAACCCACTGAGCCACCCAGGCGCCCTGAAAAGAACACTTTAATCAGAAAACTGGTGGTAAGAGATCAGTTTGCTTGTTCAGCAAGGGATGCACAGTTTGGAGGGGCTAGAATGTGGGAGCCAGGGACACTAGAGAGATGAGATTTTAGAGCAAGGCTGTCTAGGCCTTAGTCTTTAGGGGCCTTGAAGTCTGACTGTTTGGATTTTATCCCAAAAAGTTGAAGACTCTTTGTAGGTATTTAAGCAAAGTGGGAGTGTGGTTAGATCTGCATTTTTTTTTTTTTTTGGATTTTATTTATTTATTTGACAGAGAGATCACAAGGGGGGGGGGGGGGGGGGGGGGGGGGGCGGAAAGCAGAGAGCCTGATGCGGGGCTTGATCCCAGGACCCTGAGACTATGACCTGAGCTGAAGGAAGAGGCTTTAACCCACTGAGCCACCCAGGCGCCCAGCATTTTTTTTTTTTTTTTAAGGTTTCATTTTAAGCAATCTCCCCACCAAACACGAGTCTTGAACTCATAACCCTGAGATCAAGACTTGCATGTTCCACTGACTGAGCCAGTCTGGCACCTCCAGATTGGTAACTTAGATGGAGAGGGAGAGAGGGGTACCCTCCAAATCTCTTCTCTCATTCTGTTCTATTAAGCACCTGCCCATCCACGCTCACATAGCTAGGGGAATCTCACTAACACAATAATTTGTTATTTACCATGTCCCTGTTTAAAACCTCTCTGTGGGGACGCCTGGGTGGCTCAGTTGGTTAAGCAGCTGCCTTCGGCTCAGGTCATGATCCCAACGTCCTGGGATCGAGTCCCACATCGGGCTCCTTGCTCATCAGGGAGCCTGCTTCTCCCTCTGCCTCTGCCTGCCATTCTGTCTGCCTGTGCTTGCTCTCTCTCCCTCTCTCTCTCTCTGACAAATAAATAAATAAAATCTTAAAAAAAAAAAAAATAAAAAATAAAACCTCTCTGTGGAGGGCTTCCCATTTCTCCTACGATAATGACCGAAGTCCTTAACTGGCTTATGGCCTTGTAGAGTTTAGATCTTCCTTATGTCTCCAGCATCACTCCTTCCTCTTGGTTCTCTACCAAAAATACACCAACCTTCTTTCAGATGCTATTCATTCCTTACCTATCCCTGGCCTTTTTGTGCACTGTTCGGGGTGATTTGCTGTCCACCCAACCTACCTCCCTCTGTCCAGTTAAACCCCTCAGAGTGTGGTTTAAGTGACTTCCTCAAGGAAGCCTTCCCTGATTGCTGGGCCTCCTGTAGTCCCCCTGGAACTTGGTGTCACAGCACTTAGCATAGCTAGAAAGGACATGCTCATGCAGCTAGTGTCCCTAATGCCTGTTTCCCTGAGAGAATGTTGGCTCATAAGAGTAGTGGCTGGGTTTGTCTTATTTTCCTCAATATCACCAGGGCAGTGCCTTGTACACAGAAGGCATTCAGTTAATATCTGTTTCACGAAGGACCCTCTAGAAGCTGACAGGCTTTGACAAGAGCCTTAGAGAGAGAAACAGAAACCAGGACAGTCCATTGTGGAAGGGCCCGGAGTATTCTGGTTTAAAGTGTTCCTTTATAATGTAATCCATGAGAAAAACGCCTCCTAAAAATCCTTTCTCCTGTGGACTTTGAGCAATGACAAGCGAAGGCCTTCTGCGGAGGAAGAAAAGGTACTTACTAATCTCCCACATGATGTTCTCTATTTCTTGTCTGTGCTTCAGATACATGGGCCACACGTGGCCATCAAAGTACCCTGGGACGTCTGGGGGCTCGTAGACCCTTGTACTATCAAAACACAGAGGAAACTTTATGTGGACAGAAATGTACATTGATAAAAGTAAAATAATAATGGTCAGGATAATGGGAAAAATCACTGAGACTTAACTCTAAACAGAATTAAGGGTATACATTTTAGATTCAACACTAGTTACAAAGACAACAAAATGGATTTAATTTTCTGACCCAAACGAATTACTTTTATAATTCACTATCATTCATGATTATCTCCCCTGCCTTCAGTAGAGAATTAAGAGACAAATGTCAGTATAAATAATGACAGAGAACTTGCTATGTTGGGTTAAGCTTTCAATTAATTGGTGTTCTTTGTGTCTGCAGCAGAGTTATGGCTCATGAATGGAAAATCATAATCAACATATTTTTTTACTTAAAAATTTTTCATTTTTAATTGAAGTATGGTGGACACACAACGTCACTTTAGTTTTGATGGTACAGCATAGAGATTCAACTTCTCTATATGTTAGGCTATGCTCACCGTGAGTGTAGCCACTACCCTCTGTCACCACACTGTGTTGTTACAAATACTACTGGCCCTACACCCTATGCTGTGATTTGCACCCCTGTGTGAACTGTCTTCTGAATTAGGATCCACAAAGCTGATTTCAACACTCACCTCCTCCTCCTCTTACACTCTTCATAAGGAATTGTCAGAAAGTAGCTTCTGTTCCACAGAGCGTCAAGGGGCCTAAAATCACAGCATCTTTAGTTCACAAGGTTCCCCCCCCCATTTATTCTGAGTCAGTATTAGGTTGAGGACACTTACTTATAATTAAAGAGAAGGAAGCCTTCAATGATTAATATGGGAATTTCCTCGGTGCTTCTGGAGTCTGTTGATACCGGTGAGTGTCTTGGGCTTTCCATCCAGCGGGAAATGGCGGACATCATTTCTTCCATGTTAAGCGCTTCAAGCACTTCAAACAAACATACAAGAATATGAAGTCAATATAACAAAAGGTTTATGATGTGGCTTTCTATGATGAGTATATCCAGGGCTCTAAAAATATATAGAATAACGCTATTTTACTTACCCTTCAAAATATGGAATAAATATTTTAGACAAATTGGTATGTTTGAAACATTTCTAATATGGAACATTTCAAATCTATATATAAAAGTAGAGAGCAGGGTACAATGAATTCCCATGTTCGCACTACCAGCTTCGACAATCATAAACTCATGGCCAATATTGCTTTACTTAAGATGTCTGTTCCCTCCTGACTATATAAAAGTTCAATATTTTTGGATGACAAAGTATCTATAAATTAGTTAGAAAGATAAGTGACACACTGGGGAAAATATCCACAATGTATTTCACAAAGAGCTAAAAAAAATTTCTCTTAAAAAAAAAAAAAAAGATTTATTTATTTGAGAGAGAGAACCAGAGAGCACAAGCAAGAGGGGTAGAGGGGAAGAGAGAAAGAATCTGAAGCCGACTCAGCACTGAGCATGGAGCCCGACATGGGCTCCATCCCAAGACTGCAAGATCGTCGCCTGAGCCAAAACCAAGAGTCAGGCGCTTAACCAACTGAGCCACTCAGGCACCCCAAGAGCTAATATCTTTAATATATAAACGGCTCTTACAAGTAAATAAGAGAAAAATCATTAAAATTTTATAAAGGACACAAATATGTCCTTTTTAAACTCTAAAATGTACATACTTTTTGAGCTTGCAATTACAGTTCTAGAAAATTATTCCAAAATACCGATTCTCAAAGTGTAGGACCTAGACCAGCAGCGTTACTATCACCTGGGAATTTACCAGAATTACAATTTCTGGGTGCCTGGGTGGCTTAGTTGTTAAGTGTCTGCCCTTCGGCTCAGGACCTGATCCCAGGGTCCTGCATTCAAGCCCCGCATTGGACTCCTTGCTCAGCGGGAAGCCTGCTTCTCCTTCTCCCACTCTCTGTTTGTGTTCCCACTCTTGCTATTCTCTGTCAAATAAATGAATAGAATCTTAAAAAAAAAAAGAATTATAATTTCTGAGCCTTACTCCAGAACTACTGTATTGAGCCATCTGGACTTAAAGTCTTTTTAGTGGAAAGTTTATAAATTATGAATTAACTTACTCAGTAGACATAGGACTATTAGGATTTTCTCTTTGATCTGGTGTTAGTTTTGGTAAGTTGGTGTTCTTCTAGGAAATTGTCAATTTCATTAAAGTTTTCTAATTTAGTTGCACTGATTGTTCATAATATACTCTTTCAATGTCTGTTGGATCTGTAGTGGTATTACCTTTTTTGTTCTTGATATCTGTAACTTGTGCCTGCTCTTTTTTTTCTTGGTCAGTCTTGTTTAATCTGTTTGGGGATCAGTCAGATTCTTGAATTTGTAAGTTTATGTCTTATGCCAAGTTTGCAATGTTTTACACACATTTACTTTTTTTTATTTTTATTTTTTAAGATTTTATTTGTCAGAGAGACAGAGAGATAGAGCACAAGCAGAGGGAGCAGTAGGCAGAGGGAGAAGCAGGCTTCCAACTGAGCAAGGAGGCTGATGTGGGACTCCATCCCTGAGCCCTGGGATCGTGACCCAAGCTGAAGGCAGATGCTTAATGGACTGAGCCACCCAGGTGTCCCCATTTACTTTTCTCCTTTCTGAGGGTCCAATGATATAAATGTAACAGCTTTTGTTATTGTCCCATATTTCTCTTAACTTTTTTTCAGTCTTTCTGTTGTTCAGATAGAGTAATTTCTATTGTTCTGTCCTCAAATTTCACAGATTCTTTCCTCTATCACATTTATCCCGCCGTTAAGTCCCTCTGGTGAGTTTTAAAATTTCGGTAACTGTATGTTGTCAATTTAAAAATTTCTATTTGGTTCTTTTTACATCTTCTATTTCTTTACTGAGGTTTTCTAACTTTTTACTAGATTCAACAATATTCACCATCACTCATGGAAGCCTTTTTATGAATGCTGCTTTTATAATCCTTGTCAGATAATTCCAACATCTCTGTTGTCACAGAGTTGGTGTCTGTTGATTGTCTTTCCTCACTTAAGTTGAGAGTTGCCTGGTTCTTCGTATGACAAGTGACTTTCAGTCTCGTCCTAGATAGTTGAGGTATCATGTTATGAGGCTCTGGATCTCATTTAATCTTCTTTTTTATAGGCAGTTACCCTGCTTAGCTGTAGTACGCATGTCCACGAGGGCGTGGACGGTCACCCCCCTGCTGAGCCCCACCAACATGGAGGGGGAGGTTGTCACGGGAGGAGGAAGAGACAGGTGGAATGTTGGTGTGGCTTCACTTGGTGGGGACTGCCAGCAGCTGATGCTCTCTGGGTGAGGAGAGTGGAGAGTCAACTAGTACCACCTCATACTGCCTCATTCTGCCGCTGCTGCTAGACGGGTGTGGAAATTCAGTTCGCCATCTGGCTCTACTGATAGGATCACTGTGGGGTTCCCTGCCTGGCTGGTGCCACGTGGGTCCAGAAGTCTTGCTCCCCACCTGGCCCTGCTGACGCCATGAAAGGAGGATGGTTTTCCTTTTTGTGTTTGGCTACAGTAAGTTGGATATTATCAAGATGATTTTCTGTTTGGTGTGCCACTCTCTTCCTGATCCTTTGACTCCAGGGAACAGTCTTCTCGGGGATTTTTTTGTCTGTACATTGATGATATCATGTTCCACACCCCTTCAGCACTCCTTCCTGGATATATGACAGGTGAGAAGAAAACCTAGAGCATCACAGCCACATCATTCCTCAAGTCCCAAAGGCCTAGCCAGTCTGTTTTCTTTTCATCTTTGTGTCTCCCTTTGTTTGCTGTGCTCCATCCAAGGTTTTCAATTATAAGAGGGAGCAAGAGTAAGGAATGGGGCCAATCCATCTTAGTTGGAACCAGAACTACCATTAATTCTAATATGTTTTCATTACCGTTTAGTTAAAAGTATCTTCTAATTTTCACCGTGATTCATTCTCTAACCCACAGGATATACAGAAGTGCTTTGCTTCAGAAGAAACGTGATGACATCTGGAATTTACCTCAAAAAATATAGAAGGAGAGAGTGGCTAAGGGCATAAATGAAATGTAAATAGGTCAAGAGCACATCATTTTAAAAGCTGGATGAGAAATTCATGAGAGCTCATTACACTTTTCTGCCTACTTTTGTGTATGTTTAAATTTTTCCAGAAAAAAGGGGCACCTGGGTGGCTCAGTGGGTTAAGCCTCTGCCTTCACTCAGGTCATGATCCCAAGAGTCCTGGGATCGAGTCCCACATCAGGCTCTCTGCTCAGCAGGGGGCCTGCTTCCCCCTCCCCCTCTGCTTGCTTCTCTCCATACTTGTGATCTTTCTCTGTCAAATAAATAAAAATAAAATCTTTAAAAAAAAAATAAAAAAATAATAAAAAATAAATAAATAAAATTTTCCAGGAAAAAAAGGGTACTGATTAATCTCCAAACAGGAATTTTCTACTTACTCTTTGGTTACTGATTTTTTTTTTTTTAAAGATTTATTTATTTATTTATTTGACAGAGAGAGAGAGAGATCACAAGTAGACAGAGAGGCAGGCAGAGAGAGAGAGAGAGAGAGAGGGAAGCAGGCTCCCCGCTGAGCAGAGAGCCCGATGCGGGACTCGATCCCAGGACCCTGAGATCACGACCTGAGCCGAAGGCAGCGGCTTAACCCACTGAGCCACCCAGGCGCCCCT